TTGCTCTACTGAAGCGCCGGCTGCACTTACTTCTTCCAGGACTGGATGAAGGAAAATGGGACTTTGGGAAGCCCAGGATGTCACTCCGTGCAAATAAAAACCACTCATCCTCTGTGTGTGTCTCAGAAAATTCTTTTACTTAAGATGTCGTAAGGACCCCACCCCCAGCACCCAGCGAGGAAAGGAACACCTCGCTTCCACTGACACCAAAGCCAGGCCAGGCCAAGCCTTGCTGAGGACCAGAATCAGAACTGCAGCTTCTGAAAATGCAGATTCCTAAGCCCCAACCCCAGAATGCACCATGGGCTCACTGTACTTCAGGTTCTCAGTGTGTGTGTGTGTGTGTGTGTGTGTGTGTGTGTGTGTGTGAACGAGAGAGCTTTTTTCAAGTCCCCGGGTAATTTTGGTCTGGGAGTCACTGAATTAGGAGGCTAATAATGGCTTCTTTCTGTAGAGTGGAAACCTCAAGCCAACACCTGGAATTTGTATATTCTTTACGCCAATGGTAATTCCTGAAGTTTCCTTCTTTCTTTCCAGGGGTAGTTAGGAAAGCTGGCCAGTCCTTCTTGAAGCCTAGCTTAGCATCCAGGGCACCACACTCGCAGGTTTTCCTCCAGTTCTGGTGCTGCCTGCTCTTGCGTCTCGGAAGAGGTGCTTGGGAGGTCAGGCTTTGAAAGGAGAGTTTACAGGTTAAGATTTTCTTTTTCTTGAGTTAAAGACAGTGGTACTTTAAGGGACTTAAGGTTAGTTTATCTACCTTAAATTGTGATTTTGCGGGTTATCTTTCCAATATAATTTTATTGCAGCCTGTTTCAGCAGCAACTATCGGTCTTTTTTCTAATGTTGTTCACATTAAGAAGCACAAACTGTAGGCAAAAAGGAGCTGCATGCTAACCTGGCAAGCTTAGGGAAGACCTGCGTGGTGGCCTTGCACACTCGTAGACCTAAAAGAACCACAAAGGATGGCCTGAAATCAAAGCTTTTAAACTAAAAGCAGTTTATAGTGGTAGTTAGGTCCTAGGCAAGATGCTTGTCTGGCTAAAGTCAATCTTTACTCTGAGCCTTTCTATTGTCTTTTGCATCTAGGATAACATATCTGTGAAGTGTCAGTGTAAACTCCCCTTTTTCCAAGGCACCACCAATGTACGGGTGGAGACCATAAATCCTCTCAGTTATATCGTTATCCTGTTAATTGTTGACTATTATCTATCCTGGCCACCTGTGTGAAAGATGTATGTGTCCATCATTTTATTTTTCATCCATTCCCAGAGGTTTCCCCTGCTTTCTCCCACCTCCCTAATCTAGCACCAATGAATTTCATACAACCCACTTGCATCTCCTCTTTTCATTGTAATCCATATATAAAAAAGCCTAAAATGCTAATTGTCCCTCCAACCATTTGATCAGTCGCTATGATGCACACTGACCACTAGGGGGCAGACACTCCAACCAGTAGGTAAGCTTGCTACTGGGGTCCAGCCAATCGGGACTGGGCAAGACGGACACAGACACACCCTGGAGCTCTCCCGAGGACCCTCTCTGGCCCAGATCATGCACAGGTGAGGGCCCTCAGTCTGGCACTTTCTCACAATCCAGGACCCCTCAGGGGGATGTTGGAGAGCCAATTTTGGCCTGATCTTTTCAGGTCAAGTTGAGGGACCTCACAGTGCATGAATCCATGCACTGGGCCTCTAGTGTATAAAATAAGGGGCAAAACTGCCATTCTCAGGAGCATTATGTTAACCCATTGAGATTTTGCTTCCCAACAATTGTTAACAGTTTTACCCAAAAAAAAAAAAACTCACAAAAATTCTCTGTAGGTTTGAATGTTTCTTACATTGACAAAACTAATTTCCACGTAATGCAGAGAAAATCAGAAATGACTGACGTGGGAAAGTGGAATATCAAAGTAATTCTGATGACAAAGAAAAACACAGTGTTACCAGACAGCTTCATTTGGAGCACAGTTTAGCCAGTGGCTACCCACACAGAAACTCTGACTTTCCTGGGTTCTGACTTAAAATGCAAGGCTGAATATTCAGTTGCCAGAACAGTGGTGTTTCAGAAACATCAGGAATTTTGTGGTGTTCAGAAAAAAATAATCTTTCCCTTCCTATTGAGTCTCTTACTTTCAACATTTTTTTTTTTCAATTCCCATCTGAGGATATTTTTCCATTGATTTTTAGGGAGAGTGAAAGAGAGAGAGAGAAACATCGATGTGAGAGGAACACATAGATTGGTTGCCTCCTGCACAAACCCTGACTAGGGCCTGGGCTGGGGAGGAGCCTGCAACCAAGGTACGCACTCTCGACCGGAATCGAGGACCCTTTGGTCCAATGCTCTATCTGCTGAGCTAAACCAGCTAGAGCAATTTTAATATTTAGTAGAGGCACATTAAAAAAAAAAAAATATATATATATATATATATATATATATATATATATATATATATATATATTGGTCCTGGATAATCAAGAACATTATAAACTGATGAACAAAAAGAATGATACAGAGACAGTAAAGCAACAAACAGACTGTCAAATTACAGCGGGAAGGTTAGGGAGATGTGAGGGAAATGAGAGATCAACTGAAGGACTTGTATGCATGCATATAAGCATAACCAATGGACACAAAACTATGGTGGATGAGGGCATGGATGGGGGCGGGGGGAGCGGGCAATGGTAAGATATGTACACACATAATACCTTAATTTAAAAAAAGGGGGGAAAAAAGGATTGGTCCTAAGCTGGAATGAGTGTAGTAATACTTTAGAGAGTTTTGAAGTTTTCGAATATAGATCTCTTAGAGAGTTTTATCCTCATACTTTCTGGTGATGTGGTCAGGTTATCTCTTTTTCTGAGGGAGACAGAAACCAAGACACACAGCACTTCAATGACTGCACTCTCCTAAGTGCACTGACTCATTAGTTCCTGGTCAATTACTGAAACACCTCAGGCAAAAGGACACAGTCATGCTAACTGGTCACCAACCATCTAATGAGAATCAGTGACTCATTCCCTGAGATCTGGTTGTGACAGGGGAGAGAAGGGTGGGGGAAGGTATTCTAAAAACTGGGCATCGTGAAGAAGAAAGGGAGAAGTGGAAAGAGGACGCTGGGGAAGGGAAACACAAACCAGCCTTGGCAAATTTTTAATGACCAGAAGGCCTAGTGGGAGTTCAAGTGCAAAGAACTATTAAAATGAGTCATGAGGCCAGGCCGGTATGTCTTACAGTTGGTTGAGTATGGATCCATGAACCAAGAGTTCCCTGGTTCAATTTATGGTCAGGGCACATGCTGGGATTGCAAGCTCTATCCCCAGTGGGGGCCATGCAGGAGGCAGTTGATCAATGTTTCTTTCACTTCAATGTTTCTACCTCTCTATCCCCCGTCTTTCTTCGCTCTAAAAAAAAAAAATCAACAAAAACATATTTAAAAAATAAAATGAGTGATAAGAGAAAACTAGCCAATTATATGAATGTGTTTAATAAACATAGCCAAACATAATAGATCTTTACTCTTTTTTTTTTTTCCACTGAGAAAGAACATTAAGCTCCAGCTGATCTGCAGAAAGATTTGCTGTTGGTGAACTTTGGGTTTATGACCAGTAATGAGCATACTGATAAAGTTTATGGATACATTACGTCTTCTCTCATCAGTCTGAAAATGGGCCCTAGAGAATAGTGACCAGCAGTTCATTTTTCTTGGTCGGATTCAGAAACACTAGCTTGTTTGGGAGAAAAGGTTTGCATAAATGTTATACCTTTATACCTCTTTGTACTGCGCTTAGCTTTATTGAGCTTCACAAATGATTCATATTTTACAAATCAAAGGCAAGTCCCACCCCTAGCAAGAAGATTATGACTCGCTTTATTGTGGTGGTCTGGAGCCAGGCCCGCAATATCTCCAAGGTGCACCTGTATTATTATGATATCCCATCTTCTTTTTTCCTTCATGGATGTAAGGGGACCGCGAAGAGAAAATTATAATGTAGGGAAAATACAAGAGATAGAGAAACATGCTAATGGCATCATGGAGATGCAATCAGCAAGATCCAGACCGTGGGAAAGCTGCAGGACTAATGACTTAGTGTCTTCGACAAATAATTCAGGAGGAAATTGAGGCAGAACCTAGAGATTAAAAGAAATCTAAAAGATTTATCAACCAATGGCAAAAGTATTTGGTTCCTGATTCAAGCAAATTGTAGAAAGAAAAAAAAAAGAGAGAGGCTTCCTAGATATTTGAAAATTGAACACTACAAGAATATTTAATTATATTAAGGAATTGTTAACTTCAACTTTAAAATTAGCCTGGGATGCATAGCTGCATGTGATCTGAAAGAGGGCTCACATTCCCTTTTTCTCTTTCCTGTATGGCTATCCAGTGGACCCTGCACCACTCATTGGGGGAAATAAGTCCCGTCCCCTTGCTCCGAAATCAATAAGCTGCACACGTATAGTTTTGTTTTTAGGCTCTCCATTCTGTTCCATCGCCTATTTTGATGCTCCCATTTTTTTCTTTTACAATACTATTCTTGGTTATTCTTGACCTTTAGAATATTTTCTCCTTACATGTTAGGGCTCTGAGTTTACCCATCCTTGGATTCCACACCTGGCCCGGTGCCTGGTGCATAGAAGGAACTCAATGAAGAGTGTCTTATGGATGGGGGTGACCGAAGGACCTTTTCAGGGATGATGGACAGGACTCAGCACTCCCACCACCACCCCATCCTTCTACCCCGCCACTGCCCCTAGAGGCGCGCGGGTGAACTGCAAGGGGCGTGCTCACGGTGCAGCGCGTCATTGTCCAGAGGCCCCTCTGGCTCCGCGGTGCCTGCCCTGCCTCCGCCTCCGCCTCCGCCTCTGCCCCGCTTCTCCCCGCCTCTTTGTCCCCGCTCCTCCCTCCCCGCTCCTCCCTCCCGCCCCGTCCCCGCCTCCGCCTCGCCCCGCCCAGCGGAAGGGCGAGATCGCTGTCTGCTGAGCTCAGAGGTGACTGCGTGGGGATGGCGGCGCCCGCAGCTCCGGGAGGCGGTGACCCCCGCACGGACAGCCTGCTGGACCGGGAGACAGCCCGGTGGCTGCAGTGGGACCAGGTGAGGGCTCCGGGGGCTGGGACCCCGGAGGAGGGGTGGGTCCTGCCTGCCCCCCGGGAGCGGCCGGAGGAGGGGTGGGGTCCTGCCTGCCCCCCGGGCCAGTGCGATGCCTGCGCTCCCTCCCAGCTGCTCCTCCCGCGGGGAGACGGGCGGGCGCGCAGGACGCGGGGCGGCCCGGCCTCCTCCGCTCCGGCCGGCGTGCTGCCCGGGCGGAGTTTGTCCGGAAAGGGGGGCCCGGGGCAAAACCAGCCGCCGCCGGGCCGGGGCTGCAAGGTGTCAGGGAGAGAGCGGCGGCCCGAACCCGAACCCGAACCCGGCCTCCCAGGGGCTTGTCTGATTGAGGGCTGCACGCGGACTGCACGGGTCCCTGACCCCCGCCCGCCCGCTCGTCCTTTGCTATGGGGGCTGGACCCCCCACCTCCCAGAATCGTCCGTCCCGCGGGTTCCTTTGGCTCCTGGCAACTTCGCAGACCGGCCTTCCCATCCACCTCGCCCAGGTGCTTTGTTGCAAACCTGGGTCCGCCCAGTTGGGCCCGCCTGACTTCAGGCATCTTTCTTAGGTCGCTGATGGGAGGGAATCCCTGGGACACAGCTCTCCTAGCTCTGCTCCCTCTCTTAGATGCTGGAGCAGAGAGGGAAGCCAGCTTCAGACATGCCCCCCTCCCTCTCTCCTCTCTCACTGGAGTCTCCACTTCCGACTTGTTGCTTCCTGCCGGCTATTTGTGCTCTTGGGATGTGCAGCTGCTCACTTCTGCTGACCTTGTTACTCACGTTGTCACTCCTGTTTCCAATTCGAACTTACATGTGCTGTCAAGGGGGTGGGGGGGTGGGGGGAAGCATTCAAACCTGTGAAGAATATCTGTGAGTTTCTCTGAGCCAAACTGTTAACAATAGCTGGGAAGCAAAGTCTCAAACGGATTGAGATAATGCCCCGGAGAATGGCAGGCAGATTTGCCCCTTATTTTATACATTGCAATCGAAGGAGGAGTAAGTGGGTTGCATGAAATCTGTTGGTGATAGACTGGGGAGGTGGGAGATATTAATAGCAAAGCTGGGAAACCTGGGATTGGATAAAAAGAAAAATAATGGACACATACTTCTTTTACATTGGTGGATACAAGATAGTTAACTGTCAATAATTAATTCAGTAACAGTGAAGGGATTTGTGGTCTACGCAGAGCTGTGCCTGTGTTTGAGGCGTCCAGAAGGAAAATTACTTTGACATTTCAAGAATATGTTATAGTAGACACAAAAAAAGACAATAGACAGGCTTTATTAAGGTCAAGATTGACCTTTGTCAGGGAAGGAACCTGCTTAGGACATGAGTACCCACCATAAATGGCTTTTAGTTAAAAAGTTTTCATTTCAGACCATCCGTGGTTAGTTTAGGTCTCTGAGATTATAAGACCTCCCCCGAGCTGTTCTGGTTTAGTATGTGGTTCCTTTTCGTCCACAGCGGGTTGGGTAGACAGGCCTTCCCTGGCTCCTGAGGGTAAATTATTTCTCCCTACACAGACTGTTCTTCTCCTTCACAGCTCTTACTGGGATTGGTCAAACAAACAAACAAAAAAAGTATCTGTAGGTTTATTTGTTTAATGTCTGTCTCCAGGGCTGACTTCAAAGACCTGCAATCTGATGGGGTTTGCACACTCATTAGTCAGGTCAGTGGTCGGCAAACTCATCAGTCAACAGAGCCAAATATCAACAGTACAACGATTGAAATGTCTTTTGAGAGCTGAAAACAGACTTCTGCGCAGGAGCCACGAAGTTTCAACCGCACTGTAGTGTGCACCCACATGTGGTATTTTGTGGAAGAGACACACTCAAGGGGCCAAAGAGCCGCAGTTTGCTGACTACTCATCTAGGCGGTCCCACCACTTGGTTAAACACTCTGCTGTCCTGTCTTGAAATTCTTAACAACTGTTGAATGAGGGGTCCCGTTTTTTTCATGTTGCACTGCACTCCAACGAGTCATATAGCAAGGCCTGCACAGTGCAGATGGCAGAGAAGATACAGGTTTCCTCCACTCTCCGAAAGTAGGGGTTTCCTGAAATCTTGGGTAAGCTCAAAGGCCGAAACGCCAAAAAGCAATCACCATGAATGTACATGGAAAATATTTTCAGCATCTCAGACCCCCAAAATAATGTACGAAGTGATACCAAATAACACCTAACGCTTAAATACCTGGAACATGTGGTAAGAGCAGGAACGACGTTGTAAATAGACACCACGCTCTGTACACTTGTTAATCCAGTCAAGCAGCAGACTTCCCGTTTTACCCACCGAGGGAAGGGCCCCTCTGCGACCAGCAGCACTGACAGGAGCAGGGGCAGCCCTCAGGGTTCTCCCTGCCTGCAGAGAGTATGGTGTGGACGCAGGCAAGGTCAGCACACACACAGGGTCCTCATTTCATCCATCACAGTCAAAACACTCAATTATGTACAGTTTTACGCTAAGTCTAACACCCCCTCTGAGCTCTTCAGCTTTTCTGATTCCTTAGGACACATCTCGCTGAGGGGTGTTCAGAATAAACCGGGATAAAGCACAGGTGCTCACAGACACAGCTCACAGCCCTGGTGGCCTGAGGCTGTGATGCTGAGCGTCAGGGAGGAGTTTGGTGGGGCTACTGTCGCTGCCTCTGTCATGGCTGCTACCAAACAAATGCTGACGGCTGCTTTCCCTTTTCACCTTTTTTCTTTTTAAAAATATATTTTATTGATTTTTTTATAGAGAGAAGAGAGAGGGAGAGAGAGCTAGAAACATCGATGAGAGAGAAACACTGATTAGCTGCCTCTTGCACACCTCCCCACTGGGGATGTGCCCTCAACCAAGGTACTTGCTCTGGACCGGAATCGAACCTGAGACTCTTCAGTCCACATGCCGACGCTCTATCCACTGAACCAAACTGGTTTCGGCAACAGCCAAACCGGTTTCGGCAGCAGGCTAATTTTTAAGTTGATAATTTGGTCTGGCCCGTGAATGATGTTATAAATATCCACCTGGCCCTTGGCAGGAAAAAGTTCCCCACCCCTGGTATATAGAGAGAGGGTACCTCCCTGGGTACAAGTGAGGGGATGTCCTTTTCATTTTTTAGTTTCTGCCACTTCTGTTCTTTCCTCTTCCAGCTTCTTGTTTGGCTGGAGACAGGCAGCAAGAGGGAACTTCCTGCTGGCTAAAAGTTTGAGCCCCCAGGGCGGCAGGTCACCCTGCATTTTCACTCAGCCTTCACCCACTTCTTTCAGCTTTGGTCCCTCCCACGGCTGATTCTCAGCTCTGTTGTCCTCTTGACTTTTTATTCTTCTCTCTCTGCCTGACTTGGTTTCTCTCAGGCTATTGGTCTTTGATGGATACGAAAGGCCCATGTGGATTTTCCACATTGGTACTGAGAATCACCAGATATTGGGTGTGGCCTTGAAGTTCCTGTTTTCTCATTGGCTTGGCAAATATTGATTGTACCTCTTTTATGTTCCTCACCTGAGCCCTTCATGGAGTCATCTGCCAATCTGTCTGGTCAGATTGTGCTTTGTGGTCAGTGGTTATTGCTTTTAGCCCCAAAGATGGGCTTTTACTGCATTCCTTCCGAATCTGGAATAATCTGGAAATGTGGGCTTAATTCCAGAAGGCCAAGGGTTTATTGCAATAGCATTTCAAAGTTTAATTATGTGGCCACATCTTGCCTGCATGTGAATTCTTAATTTAAAATGTCTGATACGGAATTAATGTGACTGCCACTTAACATTTTCTGCAACTGTTGTACAAAGAAAACAGGGCTGTGTAAAATGAACTGATATGATTCGTGGGAATGTCTATTTGAAGCAGTGGATGTAATAGAAAAAGCACAAAATTCTTGCTTATCATTAATAAACTTTAAGCAAGTCTATTAATCTCAGGTATCTCCATCTATAAAATGGGGGTTTTGTTATTTGTCTGCTTCTTGAAGTCATTATAAGATTCAAATTTGACCAGGTATGTGAAATCACTGTACACATTATAACACTATAAAAATGAGATTTTGACTTGAAAGATTTTTTTAAAAAAATTTTCATTCTCTGGAAAAATTTGAAGACATTAGGGAAGAAAAAGAACATTTGATTACAACTAAGTGTTAGGCAGAGAAAGATGTTTTACATTACTTTAATGATTTTGATGTAAACCACCTCAAAACCATTTTGTAAGGAACATTCTAGACTGTTTACCACTTGGTGAGCGGTGGTGTGACTAAGATTCCATTCCGGGTGTTTGACTCCAAAACCTATAAGTTCATTCCATTTTTCCCAAATTGCTTGCTGTGGTAGGAAAGAAAACAACACATACATTATAAAAGGAAAGACTAAATACTGTATATTTCTATTCTAAAACTAAATATATATTGCTTATTAATCACAAAATCATTCTTAATCCAAAAAAACTGGCATTATATAACCAAAGCATTAAACTACTGAAAAACCTATATATTATATACTAGAGAGGCCCCGTGCACGAAATTTGTGCACAGGTAGGATCCCTAGCTGCTGCCAGCCGGGGCCTTCCTTCATTTTGCACCGCCCCCTGATGGTCAGCGCACTTCATAGTGAGCGATTGAACTCCCAGTTGGTCGAACTTCCAAGGGGAGACTTTACAAATTAGGCTTTTGTATATATTGGCGGGGTGTTTCTCAGCATCTACAAGGGTTCAAAGAATCTGGAAAAGGGGCTGTGTATAAAGTAATGAAGAGACTACACTTGACATAAAAACTTGGAATACATGGGGGAGCCAGGTGGAAGTTTGCTTTAGTAACTAAATTCTCTGAATCTCTGCACTCAGGGCTTTTTATTCACATATCTTGCCCTCTAGCAAAGCAGATATACCTATCAAAGGTAAAGCTTTGTAAACAATAAAAAGATGATCAGCTTGGGGCAACTGCCCTCAGCTGTCCACAGCAGGCCATAATATATGCAAATCTTCAGCCCTGCTGAAGCTGTCCACCAGCCTTCTGGTGAATTTCTCGAATTTATTATGCTAATACTGGTTTGCTTCCAGCCATATATATTTATATATAGATAGATTCCTCCCCCAGGGAAGAATCATTGTGGGTTTTTTTTATATTTCAGACTTTTTGTTGTTATTCCCCTGGCAATATCAGTGTATACCTTTGTGTTTTGCAGAATCCTTTAACTTTGGAGTCAGTGAAACAGCTCATTGCAGAAGGCAATAAAGAAGAGCTACAGAAATGTTTCGGGGCTCGCATGGAGTTCGGGACAGCCGGCCTCCGAGCTGCTATGGGAGCTGGAGTCGCTCGTATGAACGACTTGACCATCATCCAGACTACACAGGTAACCACATTTTTATACGTTTTAGTTATTCTTACCATACCCCCAGTGTCAAAAGGTAAATGGAGGTATAATGAACATTTTAAAGTCTACCTGAGCAAAAACCTATTAAAATCGGGTACTATCCAACTACTGGAAATGGTTAGAAGCCTCCACTGACTTGAGCTAGGAGACCTGCTTATTGAGAAGAGGCAGAAGCAAAGCAAGGAAATGAATAGGTTGGCTGTAGCTCAAGCGATTACCTTATTTGGGAAAGCCTCGGAGGCAATTTGTGGTCAGTTGTCCTTTAGTTTTTATTTCTTTTTTCTGTTTGTTGTTATTTGTTTTTGACAGACAGCTGTTCAGTTTTTATTTCATAATTATGAACTTAACTCTGCAATCCAGCTAGATGGGGAAGGGGTAAGGCAATCCCATTCCTTCTGTAGCTCAGGTTTTGATTTCTTAACTTGAGTCATTTACAAGCTCACCTTTTGGATTGCTTAACAGGCTTCAGTTTGCTTTCTAAGGCATTAAAGCCACCTCAGGCTAACAGCCTCCTTATCGGAGTAACTTAACCCCACGTTCCCTTTGTAAAATAAGAGTAATTTGTTTTGATTAAGGCCAGGTCTTGTGGGTTTGTCTAGGCCTCAGGTTGGCAAACTGCAGCTTGTGAGCCCACATGAGGCTCTTTGGCCCCTTGAGTGTGGCTCTTCCACAAAGTACCACAGCCTAGGTGAGTCTATGTTGAAGAAGCAGCGTTAGAAGAAGTTTAAGTTTAAAAAATTTGGCTCTCCAAAGAAAGTTCAATCGTTGTACTGTTGATATTTGGCTCTGGTGACTAATGAGTTTGCCGACCACTGGTCTAGGCACAAGGAGTCCCACTTTTACTCTAAAGCACGGCTTGCCCAGTTGGTTGAAACAGTGCTTGTTTCAAAACTCATATAGCCACTTTCATTCATTCATTTAGCAGAGATTTATTGAGTGCCGACTATGTGCCAGACATTGGGAATACAATAATGACTAAAATAGACTCATGAATCTTTCATTCCAGTGCAAACTCACCAACTAAGCCGACTGACTTTTATGGCCTTCTAATTTTTGGTTGTGGTTGTACAGGTGCAAGCATTGAAAAGCTTTTGGAATTGCCAGAATCACCGGGAGGCAATTCTATTTAGGTTGAATGAACAATATGGGTGGAAATTATTGCTGAGTTCCCTTGCCTTCATTTGTGAATTTTGCTGTCAGAGTCTAGACCCAACTTTTAGGAATAGAGATGAATCCTCTGACAAAGCAGAAGAGCTATTGATGAGGGAAACGAAGGAGAACCGATCCTTCTGTCTCCTTAATTACTTAGACTTGAAGGTCATTAGAATGAAGGTCACTTTAGGATGGAAAAATTGACTACAGCAATTGCGTTGTACCTTACACGTACCTCGCGGCATAAAAGGCAGTTGGGCATGTTGTAGCAAAACCCTAAGAAGACAGGTTACTAGGGCTGTAGAACACATTGCCCCAAACAGTGATTTTACACGGTTCATGCAATGTTAGTGGAGCTCAGTGTGGACAGCCAGTCTCTGCTACCCAGGTGTCACGTGAGCCAGCGAGGATCCTGGAATCACCTGAGAGCTCCCTCATTCACAGGTCTGCAGTTCTTGCTGGCTCTTGGCTAGGATCTTAGCTGGGGCTGGACCATTACCTTTGGCCTGGACTTCCTTACAGCATGGGGCTTGGGATAGCATCTAGACATTGGGTGCCAGGGGGAAGCTGTACTGACTCTAATAACCTCACCTTGAAAGTCACCCCAAATCACTTCCTTCCACCATGTTGAGTTTATCTTACAAGACACTCATGTGGCATTGGAGGAACATCAGTGTCACATGAGAGAAGCATGTGGGATGGTGTGTGGCTATCTTTGGAAAATTCAATTGGTCACACCTCTAATTAGGCCTAATGAATGGTAGGGGATTCTAAGAGCTTCTTATTGAACATACACTGAGTAGCCAGATTATTATGATCTCTGAATGCATAATAATCTGGACACTCAGTGTATATCCTATATAATAAAAGGCTAATATGTAAATTGTCCCCTTGACCAAGAGTTTAACCAGCAGGTAGGCCGGCCAACTGCCCATATCTCCTCCCACTGGCCAGGCTGGTCAGACCCCACCCCCATGCATGAATTCATGCACCGGGCCTCTCATATATATATGCTGTGGTCAGAGTGGACAGAGATTGGACAGAGACTGGAGGGAAATTTTTGTATTGTTTGCCTCATTCGTCGAGGTTGTAATTTCGTCTTAGGTTCCTTAACTGAGCGGTGGGACATGAATGATGGGGAACTCTCAGTCTTCTGAAATAGCCATTCTGTCTTTGGAGGATGGTTGTCATCAAAGGAGGCTTTCACTATTTTGAGTCAAAAACCTGTCTTTCGGTAGCTTTTTCATATTGGTCACCGTTGGGCCTTTTGAAGCCAGACAAAGTTTATTTCTTGTGTCCTAGGGTAACATTTCAATTGGGCAACCTCCTTCATCCCACATCATGCCTTTTCTTAGCCATGCTTTCAGGTTCTCAGTCTCTGCAGGTTCCAGAGTCGCTGAGCAATTTGGAGATGTGAGGATTGTGGACCAAGGCTTTTGCCTCCTTGAACTTTGGGATCACAGCAGTTGGCCAGGATGCGGAGAGGGTGCTCTCCCTGTTGTAAGCTTTGGATTGTGAGCATCAGTGCTTTCTGAGGAATCCACAAAACCAACACACATGTGTCCTTCTCCCTTTGTATCACTCACCTCAGAACATATGCCCAACGCAATGTTTTTGTCCGGGAAAAACTAAAGGCGTGCTAGATGGGCTATGCTCTGGCAACAAAGCCAGGAATATCCTCTCTCCCAAAAGTGACTTCCTTCAGCCAAAGTGAAATCAGTGATATGAACCATAATTATTACCAGATCAACCTTTGTTCTCTGATAAAACCTGTTTTATCCAATATTCTGAACCTGTTGAATTCAAAGGTCACTGTTTTGTGATCTTTCATATCTCAGATTGAAATAATGTTCTTGCACCCACTGGGATACAAGAATTGTGTGGGTTTTTTTGTTTTTGTTTTTTTAAAAATATATATTTTATTGATTTTTTACAGAGAGGAAGAGAGAGGAATAGAGAGTTGGAAATATCGATGAGAGAGAATCATTGATCAGCTGCCTCTTGCACACCTCCTACTGGGATTGTGCCCGCAACCAATGTACATGCCCTTCATAGGAATCGAACTTGGGACCTTTCAGTTCACAGGCTGACACTCTATCCACTGAGCCAAACCGGTTTCGGCAGAAATTGTCTGTTTTATCATTTCTAGGCAAGTGTACGAGCTTGCATACCTGCATACTTTTTATTTGTGTAATTGGCTGTGTCATGTATTTGGACTGATATGGCCTCCTTAAGACCTCTCCCTAATTAAAAACAATATTATAAACAAACAAGTTTAGAGTAGTCATTTGTCAAAACCTTGTCAAATGTATTGAGTCCCTTTGACTTGCTGCTGGTACAGAGCAGGCAGAAATATCTGAAACACTCCCCTGTCCTCAGGCACTTAGAACTGAAGTAAAAGAAGGAATGTAGGCTTTAAAGGAAAATAAAAATGGTGCTTCTAACAGCTACCCGTAGTGCTTTCTTGGTGTTAGATTCTCAGCACTTGGCATATTTTAACTCGTTTAATCCTTACAACAGCCCACTGAGATAGGTCCTATTCTTATTCTTGTTACACAGAAAAGGAAACTGGGGCACCAGGAGATTAAGGAACTTGTCATTTGCTTGTAGGTGGCAGAGTGGAGTCTAAACGCATAGACACTGTGCTTTTAACCCAGCACTGAACCCCTCTAACCCTACCGGGGAGCAAACCCAGGCTCTGCTACTCTTGTACCTGGGCTAGTCGCTGAGCATCTCTTAGCCTTAGTTTTCCCACCTGAAAAATGGGTCTTCTTGGCAAAGTTGATCTAGGGCTAGCGATATTAGATATTAAGTGTCAGCAAGAATATAGATAAACCATAAATTAAGCTTTTGTTTTCCCGTTGTTCAGTTTGTTTAATTACTGAGGGATTTCTTCTCTCTCTGCTACAATGCTGTCTTCTGGAAATAAAGAAAAATTGACCAATTTATCATACACATGACATGTTAAAACATATATATGTACTCTTTTAATTCATGGGTTGTTTTTTTTGTTTTTTTTTTTTGTTTGTTTGTTTTTTTTTAGGGATTTTGCAGATACCTGGAAAAACAATTCAGTGACCTGAAGCAAAGAGGTGTTGTGATCAGCTTTGATGCCCGAGCTCACCCAGCAAGTGGCAGCAGCAGCAGAAGGTATTAAAGATGTTTATGCTGGAGGACTAAGAAGGCTGAGTCTGAGGAAATAAGACTCTGTTGATACAATCCTCCTAGAAAAAAAGGGTTGGATGGAGAAAGCAGCCCTTATTGGAGAATATCACAGGGTTGACTGAACTACCCAACATTTTACAAACAAAATATTTGTGAACGTATTTCTTTGTAGTGATTCTGTGGTTTTATTTTTAATCATCATTTCAATAGCTTGCTTTAAAAAAAAATTGTCAGCTATATTGCTTAACTGCAAAAATGATGGGTAAATTCTGTTTGCAACTTTTAAGAATTCTATTTTTATGTCTGGGTTAAGAAAATGAAATTATTTTGACAATTTAGAATTTAATACCTGTCTGAAAGAATTTCTTTTTTTAAGTGGCAACCTTATTTCTCCTCACTTCCTTATTATTATGTAATTTTTTCCTTCTATTACTCATAAGCTTCCTGATCTCCTTCCATTCTTGCATGCCCATTTCAAGCTTTATTCTTATAACATTCCCAGGCCAATGGGAGTCTTTGTTATGTAGCTATAGTAAGATGATGATGACGATGGTGATGATAATGTGATGATGGTGGTAATAATGGTGGTGGTGATTATGATGATGACGATGATGATGATGATGGTGATGAAATTGATGATGGTGGTAATAATGGTGGTGGTGATTATGATGATGGTAATGATGGGCATGGTCATGATGATGAGTGTGATGGTGGTGATGATGATGGAGTAGTGATGATAGGACAGCCATCATTTGAGTGCTGAATGTGAGCTAGACACTTAAGTATTACTCATTTAATCCTCCCAACAACCTTTAAGGCATGTACTTTCATCTCTCTGCTCTAAGATCATAAAGTGAAAGAAGAAGCCACAATTTAAACATAAGAAGGCTGGCACCAGGAGTTGGCAAACTTTTTCTCTAAAGGGCAAATAGTAAACATCTTATACCTTGTGGATCGTACACTCTCTTTCACAACCACAGATTCTGCCATGTAGCACAAAAATAGCCATGGACGGCACATAACTGAATGGGCATGCCCTTGTTCCAGTAAAACCCTATTTACAAAATGAGCTGTAGTTGCCAATCCCTGCTCTTCTTAACCATGCAGCATGACTTTTTTTTTTTTTAACTTAAATACTTCTAGTAAGAATTTTTTTTGAAATATATTTTATTGAATTTTTACAGAGAGGAAGAGGGATAGAGAGCTAGAAACGTCGATGAGAGAGAATCATTGACCAGCTGCATCCTGCATGCCCCCTGCTAGGGATGTGCCTATGTACATGCCCTGGTACATGCCCTTGACCGGAATCGAACCCGGGACCTTTCAGTCCACAGGCCGAAGCTCTATTCTCTGAGCCAAACTGGTTTCTGCCTAGTAAGAATTTTTTAATCACTTCAGAGTATAAGTATTAATAATAATACAAGAATAAACTCAGTTTCACATACAGCGGTGTGTGTTGAGTGTCTCCTTTGCCAACTTCAAGAAGGTGCCTTTAAAATCAGTCTGAATGTTTCGTGACTTCCTTGCCATTCATTCTGGGAAATACAGTTCAGATTTAATTCAGATCTTTATTAAACTTGGTTTTGATGAATTTTTCTATTTTTCTGCCTCTCTCCTATGAAGAGACCTTCTTCTCCTGTCAAAATCCTTCTGTATTACTCTTGATCTTAGGAATTGTCACTGCAGAGATCTCTTGTGCCCCAGCCAGCTCCCGGAATTTGGGTTCATTCTGTAATGTAGAATGTTGTTCACTGGAAGTAAATTGCTCATTTATTGAGGTAGCATATTTTACTCCAAGCATGAATAAAGACTCGTTGCCCTATGTCCTGCCCTAAGCCAGTAACTGTAGAAGTTAAGAAAAATGTCAGTGACATTTAAGTCTTGTAAGGCTGAATGAAGCTAAGGTGTCTATATATCATATACATATCATATACATATATGACACACACATATGCCAATAAGATACCATGTAATTAAATGGTAGTCTGCATGGGCTACACTGGATTGTGATAGCTCTACGTTAGAGTTTCCCAGTCTCTGCACTATTGACATGTGACTTCACGCTGGACCAGATAAATCTGTTGTGGGGGACCGAATGAAGCTAAGATGCAGGGTGTTTCCTGGCATCCCTTACGTATACCCACTAACTCCCAGTAGAACCTTACTCCTACCGTCCTCAGACGTTTCAGAATCCCCATGGGACAGAACCTCTCTTGGCCAAGAACCACTGAGGTAGACCAGGAGTCCAAAGACTCGGGTGTAGGCCTGGCTCAGCTGCTAAGTGTCTGTTGGCACGTGGGACACGTTATCTGGCCTTTCTCAGCTCTCGTCCCATTTCTGTGACACAGATACACAAGTAAAAGGTTCCTCCAGCGCTAGTATTCTATACCAGTGGAAATTTATTAAGGTTTTCCTTGCTCTGGCTGCTATGCTCAATCCAGAGAAGTGGCCAGGCCTTCATTTGCTTCTTCACTTCCACCTACGGTCCTGACCACTCCATTCTCCTTTCTCCCCCCAACTCACTGCGTTTCCAGGTTTGCCCGACTCGCTGCAACCACGTTTATCACTCAGGGGATTCCTGTGTACCTGTTCTCTGATATCACCCCGACCCCTTTTGTGGTAAGTAGCTAGTTCATTTTATAATTTCCCGTCACAGGGGTGGGGTAGTACATGGCTGGATTTTACAGGCTTTGGTGCTATTGGGACTCAGGTATTTGAATGACAGGAGAACGCTTGGCATTTATTGGGTGTCCTTCCTTCTCTCCAGAAATGTTCCTTTCACATGCTAATAATATGTCTCCGATGTTCAACTTTTGATTTTTCAGAATTGATATATATTTTTAAAATATATTTTTATTGATTTTTTACAGAGAGGAAGAGAGAGGGACAGAAAGCTAGAAACATTGATGAGAGAGAATCATCAATCAGCTGCCTCCTGCACACACCCTACTGGGGATGTGCCTGCAATTAAGGTATATGTCCTTGACCGGAATCGAACGTGGGACCTTTCAGTCCACAGGCCGATGCTCTATCCACTGAGCCAATTCTGGTTTTGACCAGAATTGATATTTTTAAGTGCAGTTTTCCTTTTGCTTATATTCAGAAGATATTTTAGCTTGTTAGCAAAATGTCGTGTGTGTGTGTGTGTGTGTGTGTGTGTGTGTGTGTGTGTATAATTTGGCCTGTAGTTGTTTTTCCCAGCTATTACAGTAAGAAAACCTCTCATATCTAAATCTGAATTCATTTCCAGCCACACTTATCATGAATATTTTTGACAAGTTAATGCACCAGCTTTTTATGCAAATGTACATTCTAAATAGTATTCATGGCCAGTATAGAAAGCATGCTTGGCATGTGTTAGTAAGATTTTATTAAATACTTAATGTAGCAGAATCTAAAGAAAAGGACCGCAGGGACTGTGGCAGCTGTTGTTTTTAAGTACATAGAACTTTTATGAGTGGAGCCAGATGCTAAGAATATATCTTTTTAGAAATTAAGCCAGAAACATGATCTGAATACAGTTGCTTACATTAAGCAGAAATGAAAGTGGATGGATATAGGAGAAGTAATGTCCGTTGGTTTGTGTTTACTGTCTCTAGCATACTGACAGGTAGAGGCAGCACCTTCGAGACTATAAATAACCCAGGGGTCACTCAATGTCACATTCAAATATAGTTCTGGTTTTATTGTTTGATGGAAAAATTGCAATGTTTTTGATCATCCTTGTTTTCTGTAGTATGTGTTTATAGCAATGTTATCATTACTATTATTATTATTAGTCTTCACTCAAGGATATGTTTTTTCCATTGATTTTTAGAGAGAATGGAAGGGAGGGAGAAAGAAAATGGGGGAGATGGAGAGAGGGAGAGAGAAATATTGATGTGCGAGAAAAACATCGATAGGAGAGAGACACATTGACTGGTTGCCTCCCACATGCTCCCTGACCAGAGTGGAGGTAACCTGCAACCCAGATACATGCCCTTGACCCAGGAACCAAAACTGTGACCCTTTGATCCTTGGGCCAGTGCTCTAACCATTGAGAAAACCGACCAGGGCAATAACAATTTTTTTTTATATATCAGACATGAATTAAATGAGTGTCTCATGATCACTTCCCACTCCATGGAGTGGTTCTCCCTTTCCTTTGCTCCAGCACACATGGCGGATGTGAGAAAACTCCTAAGGGGACAAATAGCCACTTAATGGGAGGTGGAGGGACACGCGGTTATGTCTCGGGTTGCCTGTGCGTGGTAAATCTTGTGTGTGGCCACAAAGGGGACATGTCCCTTTCCTCATTTTGAGAAGTAGTCTTATAAAGATAGGAACCAAGTAGAAATACAAGAGAGGGAGCTTTTATTCTGGAGCGATGATAAATGAGCAAGGTATAATGTTTTCCTTAGAAGCAAGTAGGGGGAAAGAAGAGAAGAGAAAGCAGTGAGAGGAAATAAACTGGATTTTTATGCTTTTGTCCCAAGAAGAAGGCTTAAAAGAATGTGAAATGGAAGATTAGACCATCTTATGGTTTGGAGAGTTTTCTAGCTCTACCGAGTAGAAAACAATGAGAAGAAGGCACCTAGGGAAATGTTCTCCTTATTAGGGCACATGTCCCAGAATTTTGAGCAGTGCGTTAGTTCTAAGGGTAATAAGAGTATATTGTTGGGTGTGGCATGAAAATACTGAATGACAGGTTATGATATTTATATATTACTAGAGGCTCGGTGCACAAAATTTGTTCATGGTTAGGGTCCCTATGCCTGGCCGGCGATCAGGGGTCGATCAGCTGGATGATCGGGTTGATCCCTACTGGCACCCACCTTAGCTGGCCTGGGGCCTGCTGTCTGGAGGCATCTCCTGCATTGAGCATCTGCCTCCTGGTGGTCAGTGCACATCATAGCGACCGATCTTTCCACTGGTCATTCTGCCGTTGGGTCAATTTGCATATTAGGCTTTCATTATGTAGGATGTTTATTAAAAGGGAGCAACTTGGTACAAACAAACAATATAGAATAGACATTTTACATATACCTAATGTATGTGTGTGTTTAAAACTGCTCTTGTTTCCTGCCGTGACAGCCCTACACAGTGCTGCATTTGAAACTTTGTGCTGGGATCATGATAACTGCCTCCCACAATCCGAAGCAAGACAACGGTTATAAGGTACTTTTATTTTTCTGCCCACATGTGTGTCCTTCTCCACAAACCCTAACCCTCTACAGTGTGGGAGCACGGGGAGTGGATGCGTTTCCATTAACCGCATCCCGTCTGGATGTGCTCCTGCGTCCTCAGGTCTACTGGGAGAACGGCGCTCAGATCACCCACCCGCACGACAAAGGGATCGCTCAGGCCATCGAGGAGAACCTGGAGCCGTGGCCTCAGGCGTGGGATGACTCCTTACTTAACGGCAGCCCGCTCCTTCACGACCCGAGTGCTTCCGTCTCTAAGGACTACTATGAAGACCTTAAGAAATACTGTTTTCACAGGTACATGAGTTGCATGTGGGATCCCTTAACAAGACCCGCGTGGTTCAGGGACCACTCAAGAGTCCAGTTTCTGGAGAAGGCCGCACACTGAAATGAAGAAAGACTGGAAAAGAGTTAGTTTGGGAAAATGAAGGTCAGGCAGGAGTCCACTTCTAGGGGAGGACTACCCCATGCTCTGGCCTTTTACCATTCCTCTTATTGAGATTCTGAGACAAAGACATCCCTTAGGCAGAAAATTCCAACAGAAAATCAACAAGAATTTACATAGGATTAACAAATTAAAGTTGCTTCAACTCCCACTATCTCAACTAAACCGTGAGTTAATAGCTCCGACCATTCAGAGCCATCAAGGTTGGCCAGCTCCCTTGACATTTTACTACCAGTGACAATGTTCCCTTTCGGCAGTTGCACACTCACCTCAGGTGAGTTCAGTTAGTGTGCTTCAGCCTGGTTCCCTCACTTCACCTGATACATAAACTGCAGCTGCGTCTGATGTTAGAGGCTGTGGATTGGGGATTGGTAACTTACCTTAAAGAGGCAGATAGTGGATATTTTTGGTTTTGGGAGCCATATAGACTGTCACACCTGCCCAGCTCTGCTGTCATGGGAAAGCAGCCGTAGGTAATAAGTAAGTGAATGAGCGCAAACCTCGCTGTGTTCTAAAAAATAAGTTTGTTTACAAAAGCAGCCCTAGCTGGTTTGGCTCAGTGGCAGGTGGGTGGACCATGCTGATCTCTGCTGTCGATTCATATATGTGTGTGTGAGTGTATGTGGGATATGTGTATACATAAAACTTGTTGGAAGGTGGTGAGTAGGAAACACTGCCTTTTTTTTTTTTTCATCTTTCCAGAAGTTTTCTGTGCATATGCAATCATATATACATGCAATATATTTCAAAACGAGCAATAGGAATATATTGTGTGTGTTGTTTGTGTGATGCCTTTTCTCTCCAGTTAATTTGTCATGGATACCTTCTCTATCACCCCTGCTAGTCCTGACCCTTGTTTTTGTAGTATCTGCTGTGCCTGTTGATTTCACCCAGTGACACTGACTCAGTAATGACCATGAAATAAGAAGCAGACAAGCTGAACTTCTGTAGTTTGCTGTGGGTCCACCACTCCTCATTATCCCCCTAGCAAGAAGTGAAATTTCTAGGTTGTGTCTAATATTGTAGTTATTGGACCACCTGGGAGTGGAGGCTCCTGCGTAGCCTGTGTACCTTTGGTTGCATATGAAGGGGCAGCCTTGCCAGCTGGGCAAATGTCATCTGGAGTTGCCAGGCCATCTGACTTTTTCTCCCTAAAAAAAAACCTGGAAACCAAGATTTTGTTTGTGAAATCTCCTAATTGTTAAAAGTTGGGAATAAGTAAAAACATTTCTTTGAGCCTTCCTTCTGTCCCTCTGAGGCAGCTTCACAAAGACTGAGGGTTTCTGCCAGTCTGGAGTGGCTCAGTTGGTTGAATGTCATCCTGTGCACCTAAAGGTTGCCAGCTCAATTCCCAGTCAGGGCACATCCCGAGGTTGTGGGTTCATTCCCTGGTCAGGGCATTTTTGGAAGGCACCGATTGATGGTTCTCTCTCACATCAATGTTCCTCTCTCTCTCCCTCTCTCTCTCAACATGTCTCTGGTGAGGATTAAAACAAAACAAAACAAAACAAAACAAAACAACTAAGGGTTTCCAGTTTAGGCCATTCCAAGGAGCTCTTAAGCAGTTACTAGAGTCCGTGTGTCCGTGTCTGTGTGTGTGTCCAAGCATACACATTTCCGTGTGTATCCTTAGGTACATTTTTGGCGTCAGAATTGTATGTGCATTTACAAAGTTGATAATGGTTTACAAATTGCTCTCCAAAAATGTTAATTGATACTCCCACCAGTGGGGTATTAGCCACACATTCTTACCTCACTGAGTACTAATATTATCAAGTTTCTCATGGTTCCCATTTTCGGTGATGTGTCTTGTTCCAGGAGCGTGAACAGGGAGACCAAGCTGAAGTTTGTGCACACCTCCGTCCATGGCGTGGGTCACAGCTTCGTGCAGTCGGCGTTCCGAGCTTTTGACTTTGTTCCTCCCGAGGCTGTTCCCGAACAGAAGGATCCCGATCCTGAGTTCCCAACAGTGAAATACCCGAATCCCGAAGAGGGTAAAGGTGTCCTGGTAACCTCACATTTTTATTTATAAAATTTGCCTCTTCTGTTCAAAACTATGACTACCAAGTACAGTATGTATTTTATGTGCTTTCATTGTATGGAACAAAAATAATTTCATCATTGGAAATATTTATATTTTTTAATTGTCCATTTCTTAAAGGAACTTTCAAATTAGATATGTTAGCATCAGGATATGAGAGCTGAAATCTAAATGTTTTAAATTCAATTTAATGAATTAAGCTTAAGTTACTGTGCTTTCTTAATGCCAAAAGGAAACAGTGGTAGAATGGAAATTGAGCCCATCAATTTTATTCCTTAATTGTCATTTTTCTGATATGAGGAAGTACTGTTTAAATTATGGTTCCTTCAGCCTTTTAAAGGGTAGGGTGACGATGGGATTCAGAGAGCCAGTTTATTTTGGTTTGTTTGTGAGGTTGATCCCATGGGAAGCTGGGAGATTCCACTCCAACTGCTCACACACGGTCCACTGTGGGTGAATTCCAGGGGCAGGCCTGGGGCGTGCTCTGGTTCTCCCGTTATCTGGCCTGGCTCAGCTCTAGAAATAATGCCTGACCAGCTCTAGAAATAAATTCAGCCCAAATTTGGCGAAAATTCTCTTTTGGTTCTTCAATAACTGAACGTGTTTGTTTTTATTTTAAGGATTGCAATATACTTGATTCTAGGTGGAAATACTCTTCCTTTCTGCTCTTTTCCAGAATTTATCTTTTGCTTTGGCTGATAAAATCAAGGCCAAAGTCATTTTAGCGAATGACCCGGATGCGGATAGACTTGCTGTGGCAGAAAAGCAAGACAGGTACAAACTCATTGCGATTGCCTATGTCATAGAAACGGTAAAGGGGGAGAGCTTGGGCCGGGAAACGCTTTTGGCGAGACTGGACCTGTTTGGCACTATTTCCCATTTACTTTGCAAATGATCATCTCCCTGGATTTCTGGCGCGTCTTCCAGCATCGAGCTGCGTGCTGACATGGCGGCCACACGTTTACTCTGCAAGCACAATGCAGAGTGAGCCCTCCCAGGTGAACCTGGAATTGAGATTACTCTGTTATCTTTTTTATCATTGATTTCTTTATAATTAATGACTCAGTGCCTAATGAGGACAAAGGGCTTTGCTTGGTGCTGGCTCCACAGACCTTTATTCGTCAGCAGGTTTGATAAGGTAGGGAGCTGACCTTCGAGGAAAAGTTAAACTCAAGTTGAGCAGACTAGCGAGGAACACCTGGGGAGCGCTGTAAGGCAGGTTTGGCTGTAGAGTTTGCACACAGGGATGATAAGTTGGGGGGTGGGAGGCTATGGAAGACAGGCAGGGATCGAGCAGTTTCAGGGATCACGTGGCATATGTGATGTTTGGGGGTAATGGGGTGCTGATAAAGGATTAGAGTTTTAGATTTTGATGAAACAATCAATTCTGTATCTGTTTTTAGAGAATTAAGCTAAGGTGATACGTGCTGAAACGTGCAATGTACTTCCAGCCACGTGGACCACAGAAAGAAAGATAAATCCCACTCATGTTTTTTTAAAAAATATATATATATATTTTATTGATTTTGTACAGAGAGGAAGGGAGAGAGATAGAGTTAGAAACATCGATGAGAGAGAGTCATCGATCAGCTGCCTCTTGCACACCCCCTACTGGGGATATGCCTGCAACCAAGGTACATGCCCTTGACCGGAATCGAACCCGGGACCCTTCAGTCCCCAAGCCAACGCTCTATCCATTGAGTCAAACCGGTCTTGGCCCACTCATGTTTTTTAATATATATTTTTACAGAGAAGAAGGGGGAGGGATAGAGAGTTAGAAATATTAGTGAGAGCGAAACATCAATCAGCTGTCTCCTGCAACACCTTCTACCGGGGATGTGCCCGCAATCAAGGTACATGCCCTTGACCGTAATCAAACCTGGGACCCTTCAGTCCACAGGCCGATGCTCTATCCACTGAGCCAAACTAGTTAGGGCCCCACACATGTTTTTTGGCATCCTCACCATTTTAGCACAGAACTCAGTCTTAAGGAATGCTAAGCTGTTGCCCTCTCAGAGTCCATCATACAGACCAAAAGTTGAGACGTACACCCTATTATAGTTGGGGGATCTTGTCAGCATATTTCTGTTGGGTTGAAAAACAGCCTCTGCAGAAAACCAAGAAAATAGGAATGGTGTGTGTCATCACCGACTTACTTTTACACGCTCTTCAGAGATTGGGTGTTTGTCTGGGCACACTGGCCGAAACGCGATAGACACTCACATGTTTGGGAAGCGGCAGTCACGTTTCTGGCCAGTTATTTAAACAACAATAACAGGGCGTCTTCCAGAAACGACCTTGCACCTTGTTTAGCTTCCTTGTCCTGTGGCAGTGACTCCCAGTGTCTCTGGAGACCTCCCTCAGAAGTGCCCGGTTGTTTTCTCTTTCAGTGGTGAGTGGAGAGTGTTTTCCGGCAATGAGTTGGGGGCCCTTTTGGGCTGGTGGCTCTTTACTTGTTGGAGAGAAAAGAACCAAGACCCCAGTGCCCTCAAGGACACCTACATGCTGTCCAGCACCGTCTCCTCCAAAATCCTGCGGGCCATTGCCTTGAAGGAGGGTTTTCACTTTGAGGTGAGGTGTTTTGGGGGGGGGACGTGGTCTTCCGCCTCTCGTTTGCCCTGCTGAAGGTCTAAGACACATCCTTCTGTTTTGGATTATCCCTTTAGGAAACATTAACTGGCTTTAAATGGATGGGAAACCGAGCCAAGCAACTAATAGACCAGGGGAAGAATGTCTTATTTGCATTTGAAGAAGCTATCGGTAAGAAGCCATGTGATGCTTGTGGAATTTGTTGGTACCCAGGATGCAAATACGTGAGAAAATAAGTGGATGTGGATTGGGGTTCAGTAAATTAGTGTGAGAGAGGAGCACACAGGTTGCTTTCCTTCTGTAGCAATCAAAGAGCGTTGAACTGTCCTACCCCTAAATGGGCAACCCAGGTTTCATTCAGCTAAAAAAGAATATCTGGCAAATAACCAAGTCATTAATGTTAGAGAGTGAATCCTTTCCCCAGACGATCCAAAACAGCGATACTACGCGCATGGCTGCTGGCAGCGTAAGAATCCACATTTGGGGGGAGTGTGATGTTTCCTCAGCTGCGGAGTGGATACCCAGACCTAAGTGTTCTGTCCACAGGGAAGAACATGGTGCCTTCATCAAAGTCATTGTCACCTGAAAGGATGACCCCCAGCACAGCCAGGATGACAGGAAAACACTTGTCTAAAACTGCCAATAGGAATGAGCAGGAAGGAGAGTGAGCCACAAACACCTGAAATTCAGGTGTTTGCACTGGGGATATTTGAGCTATTTGTTCAGAAAAAGCTCTGAGACATCATACTTATCCTATAGTATATATTCTTCTGATTCATCTGTATACTGCCTGCAGCACCGTAACATTGAAGCAACTGATCGAACCAAGTGGAATTGCTCAGCGTTGTTCTTTTTTTGGTCGCAATTGGCAGTCTTGTCTTTCTATAGCTTTTCATTTAACAATATTTTTGCATTGGTTTATTAAGTATTTATTGCATGTCAGTTACATAGTCATTCTGAAAGAAAGGGGCACTGACCTCTGCCTACAGCCGTTGCCAAGGATCTAGTTAAATAACCACACAGAAGACACTGGGCCAGGAACCACGATGAATAATATATCTCACAAGAATTATGAGAATTCAGGGAAGACAGCATAAGCCTTGACTAGAACAACTGGAAATAGTTCTGTAGGAGCTGGACCTAGGAGGAAGACTCTCCTTATAGGTTATTCAACAAATACTTCTTGAAGGCCTACTATGTGCTGAGCACTGGGCTAGATTCTTAACTGTAATACTGGCAAATGAGAAGCATCCATCTACTTATACTGTACAGCCTCTTATGTGATAGGCAGGGTCCGTGTAGATACATGCACCATAGTGTTGTAAAGGAGCCCACCCCTAAGTGTCCATGTCTGACACGTGTTTCTGCAGGATATATGTGCTGCCCTTTTGTTCTGGACAAGGATGGAGTCAGTGCCGCCGTCATAAGCGCAGAGTTGGCCAGCTTTCTTGCAACCAAAAATCTGTCTCTGTCTCAACAGCTAAAGGCCATCTATGTCGAGTAAGTTTCTATTTTTTTTTTAAGATTTAAAAAAATATATATTTTATTTATTTTTGTACAGAGAGGAAGGGAGAGAGATAGAGAGTCAGAAACATCGATGAGAGAGAGTCATCGATCAACTGCCTTTTGCACACCCCATACAGGGGACATGCCCGCAACCAAGGTACATGCCCTTGACCGGAATCGAACCTGGGACCTTTCAGTCCCCAAGCCGATGCTCTATCCATTGAGCCAAACCGGTCCCGGCAAGTTTTTATTGATTATTGAATTAAAGTCATGTAATTTGATTAGATTCATGTGTACAGTGTAATGATTCAATACATGTATGTATTGGGGCATGGTTGCTACAATAAGTTGTTAACATACATCACCACCTGTGGCAATATATTTTAAGTGTATTACGTTCTTACATATGAGATACTAATATTCTTTCCAAGGCTCTGACTTTAGTTATGAATTCTATTTCTTAAGAAAATGAAACGAGATTATCTTTTCCTTTGGATACTTACCATTTGTGATAGCACTAATCTTTATTAAATGAGAACATTACACAGAATGTGATTTTAAGTGTCTGATGCCAAAAAAGATTACATGTGTTCATGAAACATCTATTTAGTCTTTATAGCAATTTCTCAACTCTTGCCTTTCTGGTGCTAAAGCAGCCAGACACAATACACAATATAATGGGCGAGGGATGGCTGGTCCAGTAAAACTGTACTTACCAATGTAGGCTGAAGGCAAGGTAGCAGCTTGGCGATCCCTCGGGTAAATTGTCACACCTCCTTTTCAATGCTAAATTATTGCTCTGAAGCTAGCCACAGTCATTTGTCTCATTAACTAATTGAGAATGTGCTGGTTGGTGCTCATTCTGTGTACACTATACAGAATTATTTGTTCCACATTTTGCATGTATTTGTTTTGATAGGTATGGCTACCATATCACCAAAGCTTCATATTTTATCTGCCATGATCAAGGCACCATTAAGAAATTATTTGAAAACCTTAGAAACTATGATGGAAAGAATAATTATCCGAAAACTTGTGGCAGATTTGAGATTTCTGGTATCAGGGACCTTACCACTGGCTATGATGATGGCCAGCCTGACAAAAAAGCGGTAAGTCACATCCATGTTCACCAAACTCTTGTCTGTTGTTGATTTCAAAGAGGGAGAGAGAGGGAGAGATAGAAACATCAAGGATGAGAGGACTGAAAGGTCCTGGGTTTAATTCCAGTCAAGGGCATGTACCTTGGTTGCAGGCACATCCCCAGTGGGAGGTGTGCAGGAAGCAGCTGATTGATGTTTCTCTCCCATCGATGTTTCTAACTCTATCCCTTTCTCTCTGTAAAAAAAAATCAATAAAATATATTTTTAAAAAAAAAGAATTATAGTGAAACATGGCAGATCCAACCGTATCTCCTCTCAGTTTTTACTTCTGGTCTTTACTGACAGGTTTCTAAATACTGTGCTTATATGGTGATGTTTTGAATTATGAGTGTTAGACTCAGAGATAAGGATTTAGTTCTTAGACTTCCAGCATTCACCATTTCCTTTCCTTCCTGTCCTCACAATACATTCATACCATAACTTTGAGTGCCATCAGATTCTGTGCTTGTATTAATATGGCAGAGGGTGAGGATCCGAGAGGGTCTGACAGCTACTTTCAAACACCACCTTGCCTTTCCCCTGCCTTTTGCAGTCCCTGGTGCCTCCAGTAGTGAGCGTGGCAGGGTTCTGCAGAACACCTTGCCTGGGTTCTCGTCTGTCGCCTGCCGTGCTCAGCTGTCACCCCGTGTTCGGGGGCAGGTCTGCTCCTCCATCTGTTTTCTGACTTCCTGGATTGGCTGGCAACCCCATCAATTGCAGTTCCCTTTCTTCCTCTTTGTCCTTGTGTTTGTTTCATTTTTTCATACTCCTGTCATTTGAGTGAGGCTTCCAGTTATGCATACATCCTCCAGAAGCTTAATTTTTTAAAATCCATAGACATTTTTGCAAAGTTAAGTAAGATCTAGTGTTCTTTTTATTTTATTATTTTGTAATGCATCATTAATCCATTTAAACCAATTTCTTGTGGAATTATATATTTCAATTTTAGTAAAGCTTTAGTCATTTTCATGAATAGAACGGAAGAGGTAAAAAGCCTAGTATACAAAGTTTACTTAAATTTCATCCATTTCCTTATTATTATTATCTAGTGTGTCATGTATATGGAGTACATCTTCAGATTTTCTCCACAATCTTCTTCTTTCTGAACCAATATATCTGTGGCATTTATTTTCTTGCGTATCTAGAGGAAATTTATTTAGGCCTGAGGAGTTTCTGTTACCATATACATTCAGAATGTGTGTGATTCGTTCCTAGGTTCTCCCCACTAGTAAAAGCAGCCAGATGATCACCTTTACCTTTGCCAATGGCTGCGTGGCCACCATGCGGACCAGTGGGACGGAGCCCAAAATCAAGTACTATGCCGAGCTGTGTGCCCCGCCTGGAAACAGGTAAGCTGTGGATGGCAGCCGCTGAGGTTTTAGTCCCTAAACTTCCGAGTTGGTTCTGTTCATAGGCTGAGTAAAACATTTCATCTTTCCAGTATGCCCTTTAACTGGGAAGCTTGTTCCAGAACCTACAGCAATCCTGTGATGTTAATGGCTGCTGGGAGCATTCAGGGAGAGGAGTGTTCCTTAATTACATCTCTCCCTCTCCCCACTTCTTGTCTGAGAAAACTGCCATTCCTCATTTCAGCAATAGTAATATTATTTCCTTTTTCTAGTACTTTTTATATGAGGTAAGCGCCCATGAGTGTTTCTCCTTTTTCACATGTATCTGATACAATAAAGTGAAATCATTGCACATGCATTCAGCACCTGCTTTGGGCCCCTGTGTGGTTGCATCAGGCGACGCTGGGCCCCAGGATAAAGAGTCAGAGAGAGTCCTTGCCACCGAAGGACTGATGGCCTGGTAGCTTCAGGGTCATGTCTTCAAGAGTGTGGGAAAGGGTTTGCGTTGGTCACTTTCCAACTGTAACATTTTGAACTTGAACAACTGTGGTGCATGTCATTAGCATGTGCGTGTGTGATCCTGCTAACCTATTTAACCCACAGTTAACTAGCTCTTCTCTGTTTAGATTACAGTTGAGAATCAGGGGGAAAATTTTTAGGTGAAATCAACTCCGTCCAATAGAAATACAATGTGAGCCACATATGCAAATTTCAGTGTTCCGTTAGTGAATAGAAACAGGTGAAATTAATTTTAATAATATATTTTATTTAACCAAGTCTATTTAAATACTGTCATTACCATATGCAATCCATACTAAAGGTTATTGAGATATTGCATGTGTTTGTCACACAAAGTCTTCACAATCCATTTTAGTATCTTACAACTTGCCATGTATCTCAATTCAGATGCCAAATTACTTTTGGAAATACTCTATCTGTATTTAGATTTCATAAAATTTGCAGAAGAAAATGTAGAATTTGATACCCCAGTTGTTCCAAACGTACTTAAGTTTTCCAACAGCCAAATCAGGTGTCAATTTTTAAATTTGAATTTCAGTTATTTGGACTTAAATGAAATTTAAAAATCAGTTTCTTGGTTGTCTGAGGCATATTTCAAGTGCTTGACAGCCATGTGTGGCTGCTGGCTGCTGCAGTAGACGCCAGAAGTCTCAGTGGTTGTTAACAACATGTATTCCAAAGCTCTGCTCGTAGGAAGACTTTCTGCGTTTGTGAATCAGATTTGCACCATGTGGAAGTAGGAGCAGAGGAACACTGCTGAGCATCTTAAATTGGCAAGTCAATAGCAGATTAGCCGAAACCGGTTTGGCTCAGTGGATAGAGCGTCAGCCTGTGGACTGAGGGGTCCCAGGTTTGATTCCGGTCAAGGGCATGTACCTTGGTTGTGGGCACATCCCCAGTGGGGGGGGTGCAGGAGCAGCTGATGGATGTTTCTCTCTCATCGATTTTCTGTCTATCCCTCTCTCTTCCTCTCTTTAAAAAATCAATAAAATAAAATAAAAATTTTAAAAAAACTTAAAAAAAATAGCAGATTAAAATATAGCAAATTAGTAGTGGGTGAGGAAACAATTGTTAGGGTTCGACATCCCTTAGACAGGCAAAGTGAGTGCTGACAGTAAAGCAAGAAATACTGAAGCAAAACAAAGCTAGAAACATGGAAACAAGAACTCGGGGAGTTTAAGGGAAATAGCATTCCGCTCCCAGTGGGCCTTGCGTCTTCTGATTGAGAGCTGCCGAGCAGCTGTCAGAGACATGATTATAGTTCTTAACCATCGAGGTACTCAAATGGATCTATGAAGTCATGGGCCTGGAATAGATTTGCTACAGATTCTCATTAAAACCTTCTGGTGCTTAAAGGGCAAAATCTCACCATGATGCAACTTAAACATAAAGCAGCTCATTTTCTGAGCACGTTGCATTACCAGCGTTTTATGGGATATTGTGCAAGTATCAGTGTTTCCTTGTGTGTTAAGTAGCGAGCTGTTTGCTACTACATTGAGTATGATTTTTCCATTGGCTTTTTTTGTAATTCTCATTCTCACTTAGTGTTTGTATATTTCTGTGTCTTATTCTTTTTTTTTTTTTTTGGCGGGGGGATGTAAGACATTAGGCCACTTTAAAGATGTTTTCAATAGATATTTGTCTTTTCCTTTTTGTTATCCTGTGAAAAATGTGCCTAATATTCCAGAAAACTTTTGCTTTAAAATAACAGTATTATTTAATGTTTAAGGGTCTGTGGTATTTACATTTTTTCACATGGTTTACTGAGTGGACTTAAATTCAAACACTGATGTATACTTTACTGAAAACATTTAGAAAAATTGTGCTTTTATTATATTCATTGAAATGTTGCTTTCTTGTATTAAATGGGACATTAATCACTAAGTCAGCTACAGCTACACTGTCGGGGCTCAAGCCAGGCACCAGCATACCTACTGTACAACAGCAGTAACACCATGGTTAAAGTTTCCTTATTTTCTGATAACCTAAAATATTGTTAATATAGTCATATCATGAATTTAATTTATTCATAGAATTTCATGACCTACTAATTCCTTAGGATGTGAAATCCTTTACTGGCACAAGTCCTGCTTTTTATTTTTTTAAAAAGATTTTTTAATTAATACTTTTTTTGAATTGATTTTTTACAAAGAGGAAGAGAGAGAGATAGAGTTAGAGACATCAATCAGCTGCCTCCTGCACACCTCCCACTGGGCATATGCCCGCAACCAAGGTACATGCCCTTGACGGGAATTGAACCTGGGACCCTTGAGTCCACAGGCTGACGCTCCATCCACTGAGCCAAACCAGCTAGGGCAGTCCTGCTTTTTAAAAAATATTTTGTTGAGGTAGATGTCTTTAGTTTTTATTTTGGAAAATTTGAAACCTACAGAAATGTTGAAACAATAATGTAGTGAATATTACATACCCTCGCTTAGACCAAGACTTGACAAGCTTTTCCTGTGAAGAGCTAGATAGTAAATATGTTAGGGTTTGCAGGTCCTGTGGTCTCTGTCACAGCTACTGGCTTTGCTGTCCTAACTAGAAAACAGGCATAGACGTGAAGGAATGGGCGTGGCAATGTTTCGGTGAAATTGACACAAACAGGCCATAAAGCCCTGGTTTGCCTACCTACAGTGAGCAAATGCTAACATTTTTGTGATATTTGCTCTCACTCACCATACACTTTATGTTTTTGGTTGTTTGTTTTCCCCCTGAGCCATTTAAAAATGAGTCATAGACTTTAATATGCATTCCTAAGAACAAAGACTTTCTCTTACTATCTAAGGTTTAGATAATACTTATATCAGGGAGGGTTCTAACAGAAACGAGACCAGTAGGAGCTATAAAGACACATATCTCTCTGCAGACTACAGATATATGCCTGTATGTCCATATGTAGTACACTGTTGAGTTTTAAGTATATTGTTGAAAAAACACACACAGTAATTAGTTATGTGCCTTCCTGAGAATTGCTTTTTTCTTCAAAGCACACTTATGGGGAAGGGAAAAAAAAGACCTGTGTAGTTCATATGTACTTAGGAAGCATAATTACTTTTATGTGTTACCAATGGCGGTAAAAATAATTATAACGACAGCATACATTTATTGAGGTTTTGGGGCCAGGTTCTATGCTAATTGCTTTCTATAATTTATCTCAATCTACACAACAACTTTCTTGGGAAGGTACAGTCTTCATCCCAATTTTACAAATGAAGGAATCTGGGCCTTCCAGAGGCTAAGCCTTCCCCGGGGCACACCCTAGCAACCACAGAGCCAGAATTAACGCCTGTAACAGGATGGATTGTGCTAGTTGTACTCTTAGCTTTCATAATGTAAGAATGATCTTAAATTACAAGGATTGCCATCTCCATTAAAATATAGTTTGTAGCCCTGATCGGTTTGGCTCAGTGGATAGAGCGTCAGCCTGCAGACTGAAGGGTCCCAGGTCCGATTCCAGTCAAAGGCATGCACCTTGGTTGCGGGCACATCACCAGTAGGAGGTGTGCAGGAGGCAGCTGATCGATGTTTCTTTGTCATCCATGTTTCTCTCTCTCTCCCTTCCTCTCTGTAAAAAATCAATAAAATATATTAAAAAATTTTTTTTTGAGGACTAGAAAGGGATATTTTTTGTTTATGGTGGAGACTTTGGGAAAGCTTTTGGGGAAATAATTGATATTGTCTCATGGGATTTGTTGTTGCTGTTGTTACCAGAGGCTCCCTGCACTTCCGATTAGTCTGATTTATTAGTAGCCCTCCTCTGAAGGTTCCATATCATGTGTTTCTTGGTCACAGTGGAGAAAATTGAAATATGCTTTTAGCCCTGGCTGGTTTGGCTCAGTGGATAGAGCGTCACCTGTGGACTAACGGGTCCCAGGTTAGATTCTGGTCAAGGGCACATGCCTGGGTTGTGGGCTCGATCCCCAGTACAGGATGTGCAAGAGTCAGCTGATCAATGATTCTCTCTCATCATTGATGTTTCTATCTCTCCCTCTCCCTTCCACTCTGAAGTCAATAAAAATATTTTTTTAAAATAAAATATGCTTTGTGAAAAATCCACTGATCTAGAATTTCCCCCCTTATTTTGCAGTGATCCTGAGCAGCTGAAGAAAGAACTAAATGAACTAGTCACCGCTATTGAAGAACATTTTTTCCAGCCACAAAAGTATAACCTGCAGGCAAAAGCAGAGTGAAATATCCCAGCCTTGGGCACAATTGCATTTACCTACATTAAGCTGAACCTGATTTCTTAATCATCATTCGTAAGGGCCAAGTGATTTAAACTGTCACTACAAGTATTTATATATTTTTTAATAGACCTACATTCCTCATTGTCTTATGTTGGATCTTTAACGTAAATAAAGGAAAGATAGGTAAACCTAACACACCAACATTCCTATTAAAAGGTTAAGACTCAACATTATGAGAATTTTAAAAAATGAAGATTTAAAAAATATAATGAATATGCTTTAATTACAGTAAACAACAAATATGTGTTTCCTCTATAATTCTCTTTATGAATAATTGAAATAACCAGGAGGCCCTTACAATTGGGTAATTCTGGGCTGTCACGTGTAAGATGCCCACGTTTTACACACATAGGCAGACCTTGTCTTATTGTGCGTCACTTCATTGAGCTTCACAGGTGTTGTGTTTTTTAAAACCTGAAGGCAAAAGATTATGACTCTCTTTGTTAAGATACACATTTTATTACCGGAGTCTGAACCAAACTCAAAATATCTCTGAGGTACTCTAGTATATAAAAATGGTGGGCAAAAGTAAGTTTACAATTCTGTTCAAATGGAAAATAATACAACAATCAGTAAGAAATACAAGAACAAAATGTTTCGCATTTTCACAACTGTTGTTGTGAAAATGCGAAACATACTTTTGCCCAATGCTGGGTATTTCTATCAATTGTTTATAAAGTAAAATAAATGAACAGATCAAATATTGTGTTTATGTTTAGGAAAAATACAATTTACAGAAACCTGTGAAAAGGAGCAAAATATACCTTAAAAAGATAAGTTTTGTTTTGTTTTTTATTTTTTACCTAAATTTTGTTAGTTCTAATAATATACCATTATACATTGTGCATGTGCTAGGGAAAAAACAGCTTAACCATTTTTAAAAAAATATATTTTATTGATTTTTTTATAGAAAGGAAGGGAGAGAGAGAGAGAGCTAGAAACGTTGATGAGAGAGAAACATTGACCAGCTGCCTCTTGCACACCCCCTACCGGGGATGTGCCCACAATCAAGGTACATGCCCTTGACCGGAATCGAACCCGGGACCTTTCAGTCCGCAGACCGACGCTCTACCACTGAGCCAAACCGGTTTTGGCAGCTTAACCATTTTTGTTCAATGTATTACCATTCATTTTAGCTCTTTAAATCTTGAATCTAAACAGTTGATTTGAAACTTGCAAATTACTTTATTGTACAACTTTTTACTCTAGCACAATTTAATTCTTGTTTCTTAAGTGGCAAGGATGATAAATAACTATTCACCTGACTGATTTTTTTTTTTCTTGTTCGTACATAATCAAAATCTAAAACTAGACTTTTTGTATAATAGATTTTCTTATCCAGGTTCATTGTTTTAGCCTGTGCCTTCTGCCCTCCTCCTAACTGTTGGCCTTATAACCTTCCAGAATGATTCCCCTTCAGTGAGTCCTTCAGCGAGGACCACACCGTTTTTTCTTTTAAGTATTTTATGTGATTTTTAAAGCAAGTGATCGCCCATTATTATTCTTATTGTTAGCCTACATGGTTATGAACTTTTTCAGAACAGAGAGAAATACAATACTGTTGACAATCAATTTTCTAAAGTAAAGGGAAAATATTCTTATATCTTAGTGATGCATAGCTTGTGTCCTACCAGAACTCTTAAATCCACAATATTCAATATAATCTATCAGCTACTTCATTGTAGAAGCTATATTTATTTTTGTGTTATAATGTTTTCAAGTCTCAGACTGTACACTGGAAAACGAGCAATGGTAGATCTGTGTCCTTGCCACGGTTTTCTGAACATGTAAACTATACCTCATCACAGAATCTGTTTCTGAAAATACAGAAGCGATGGAGATCCAGTTCCGCTGTAATGGAGCTCACAGTCTAATCGAAGGGCTAATAAAGAACTGTCAATCTCACAAATTCTGTAGGCGCGTTATTTGCAAAGCATGCAGCGGTCAGAAGCCTGGGGGGGGGGCGAGTCCTGTTCAGGCGGCCTTTCAGAAAAGAGATCAATGAGCTGCTTCACCTTTGGAGGGTGAGCAGCAGCTGAAGGCGGAACAGAACGTCCTAGGCATGGAGCACAGCATTACTGGAACTGTAGAGGTGCTGGGATGTGTGTGCATTTTGGGGGTGGGGGTGGTGTGGGAAAGCAGAACCCAGCTGTAAACCTCAGCACATACCCCCACTTCTCCGACACTCACACAAGCAGGCGATCAGTTGAACCTCTATTATTTCTCACCTGTATTTCCAAGAAATAGCACGCCGTGGGTGCGCGCTGAGCATTTCTTGACTTTTTGTTATGGGATGGGTGCAGGGGAGAATAATTCGTGGTGCATAAAGCTTGCAGCATCAGACTGGGTTCTTGTCTTGGCATGCTGTGAATCGGCTCTGTGACCTTTGACTTCTCCGTCTGCATCTCCAGTTTTGTTCATATGTTGAAACTTTTCTTTAAGGCAGTTCTAGGTTCACGGCAAAAAAAAAAAAAAAAATATATATATATATATATATATATATATATATATATATTTAAAATATATTTTATTGATTTTTTTACAGAGAGGAAGGGAGAGGGATAGAGAGTTAGAAACATCAATGAGAGAGAATCACTGATCAGCTGCCTCTTGCACATCCCCCACTGGAGATGTGCCCTCCACCAAGGTATATGCCCTTGACCAGAATCAAACCTGGGGCCTTTCAGTCCACAGGCCGATGCTCTAGCCACTGAGCCAAACTGGTTTCGGCATCACAGCAAAATTGAGAGGAAGGTACAGAGATATCCCATAGAACTCCTGCCCCTACATTGCATAGCCTCCCCTTTTACCAGCATTCCCAACCGGAGGGGTGCATCCATTACTACTGATGAACTACCTGCGTTGACACATCGTCACCTAAGCTGCAGAGATAATGAAAAGCTCATTGATTGCCAGAGCTTAGCAGGGAGAGATGAACGAATGAGCAGAGCAGAGAAGATTTTTTGGGCAGCAAAGCAAAATTCTCTATGATAGTATAATAGTGCATGCATGTCCTAACACCTTTGTCCAAACCCATGGAATGCGCACCAAGAGTGAACCCTGATGTAAACTAGGGACTTTGGGTGATGATTCTGTCATTTTTAAAATGTAGAGGTTTTACTGAATGTTCTCTGAGGTCATTCCATGCAGCAGGTCTTTAAATTATGTGGAAATCCAACGGGGGCACTGTCAGCGGCAATAAATCACGGGCAATTCTCTTTGACAGAAGCTTAACTAGCCCTCTGAGATGGAGACAGACACTTTGTACCGAAGAGCAGCATCGTGCTCATAGCCTGCCCTGCCTTGCAGCCTGAAGGGGGTGGGTGCTGCGAGTGGGGACCAGCAGAGCAGACCACGTGACCTGTAGATGCCTGAGGACATGTTTCGATAGAGGAGTCAGGCAGTGATTGGGGCGAGTGCTCTCCTGGCAGCCCCTGGTGCATTCTAACGGCTACCCCTCCTTGGGGAAGACCTTCCAATTTGAGTGTGGAGCTGGCAACCCATATCCTCTTGGTGCCTAGAAAGAACCAATCCCAAGGGAAGTCCTGAGAGACTGACTGGGAGGGGGAAATGCAGAATGGAGTCCAACACGTGGACCAAAGAGCCAGCTCCAGGACTAAAGAGCTTTTGAGAGCATTTCAAAATAGCATTGTGCAACTTCCCAAGAGACTTGGGGCTGCAGTTTACCGAGATGACGAGCCTGATTGTGCCTTACAATCCATTGTTCTGAACCAGTTCATCTTAAAACTGGAAAAAAAATGAAGAAAATCTCCAGGTGGCTAGAGTGCAAAGTAGCTCCATATCTGATAAATGATCCTGTCCTTTAACAAGACTAAAGTAATCTTTAGATGGAGGCTTGGGCTAATTATCTCCTTTGCTGGTTCAGCAGGCTTCTCGTTGTCTATTGTTTTCTTTCCGAATCAGTCCATTCCCTGAGGTGTAGTCATGGATTCGCTGCCCTCTGAAAGCTCCTCTCTGCTCATGACCACGATTGTCCTTAGTGCAGAACTTCAGACTTCTCTCTCAAGTTCCAACCTCTATTGCCACTTGCCCACTTGCCCCTTCCTATTCAGAGGGCCTCAAATTGCATTCAGTGCGGCTGGCCCCAAATAGTTTTCCCCATTCAGCTCCCAGATGCCCTCCCTCCAATCTACTCTACACCTCCATCTCAAAACACCAGGCCAGAACCTTTGGTGATCTTAATGTTTGACATTCACCTGTCTTTTTCTTTTTAAACACATGGAGAACTTTAAAGGTATACAAAGAATATTATAATGGACCTCCAAGTACCCATTACCAGCTATAGGAAATTCATGCCCAATCTCACTACATCTAAATGCTTCTCACTCTCTTGCTATAGGACATTTCTGAAGCAAACCCGGACCTGTAATAACATCTGTAAATATTGTGGTATATCACATATACTCATCACTACTTAAAATCGTGGTAGTTATTAGACCTACCTTGTTATTTAGTGTGTTAATAACAAAGCACATATTAACCCCTTATCAGATATATTGTGTGTGAATGCTTTCTCTCATTGCAAAGGTTGCCTTTCTTTTTTTTTTTTTTTTAAATATATTTTATTGATTTTATACAGAGAGGAAGGGAGAGAGATAGAGAGTCAGAAACATCGATGAGAGAGAGTCATCGATCAGCTGCCTCTTGCACACCCCCTACTGGGGATATGCCTGCAACCAAGGTACATGCCCTTGACCGGAATCGAACCCGGGACCTTTCAGTCCCCAAGCCGATGCTCTATCCATTGAGCCAAACCGGTGCCGGCCAAAGGTTGCCTTTCATTTGAAGCTTTTTAATTTGATGTAATGGTTTTTTTATTTTAGACTAGAGGCCTGGTGCATGGATTCAGGCACCGGTGGGATCCCTCAGCCTGTTCTGTGGGAATCTGGCTGAAACCAGTTCTCCGACAACCCCCAAGGGAA